AAAAAAAAAAAAAAAAAGGCAGCTTTGATTTTTTCCAAATGTGCAATTCACACGTGAACAAAGTAATTCTGAAAGTAATTCTCAATGTATTTTACGTTCTCGTTGCTCTCTTCAAAGCCAGAGGTGTTTGCCCTGATGTCATTTCCAGCCTGCAGAAGATGTAATTTAAAACATATATATATTGTGCTTGCGAGAATCATGAATCTGTGCATCCGATGTCATTCCTTTTCCCATTGTTACAATATGGATATAATTTAGTTGTTGTTTTTTTTTTTTTTTTTTTTTTTTTTTCCTTTAGGGCTGTATAGTGTTGTTTTTTTAAAAAAAAAAAAAAAAAATCAATTGTAAATGTCTGGTTTTCACATAATGTTTAAAAAACATTGAGAAAGAGGATGGTGCTTGTTCCATATCATTCTTGATTGTATATTGCTTCTGTTATGTTTATAAGTAAACTGTGCATGACTTGTGTTTAGCGGTCATTATGGTGTCTGTTTGTGAGATTTTTATTAAAAAGAAACAAATCCCGTAGATGCACTTATTGTAAATGTGATTAGATGGTTGGTCTGAGGCTAGAAGCCTCCAACTGCCCAGGAAGAAGGAAAAAAAAAAAAAAAAAGAAAGAAAAAAAGAAAAAAAAAAAAGAAGTGTTGGCAGTTATTAATTAATATGAAATCGCTTTGTTGGGAGCATAATGAAATGAGAGATGAAGTGTAGAAAATAATTTGAAGAAGCGATTTTTTGCAAATTTCCTTTTGATGCTTGTGATAAAAGACAAATGTACTTGTGTAGAGAAATTCCTTTAAAACAATGACTAGGAAAAGCTGATTTTGAGGTTAATGCTGTAGAATAGGAATGTATACCAAATGTAATCTTTCCAATGCTACGATGAATTTATACATGAGATTGATATGCAATAAACCTGTGTGCTTTTATAAGCCGTGGTCCCGTGAGCTTTGTTGCATCGGCGTGGGGTTGGTGGATGCTTTGCTGCAAGGTAAGGAAGGATGGGGCCGGAGGGGTTTGGGGGTCAACGGTGTGTGCTGCAATGCTGATTAATGCTCTCTGCTTCAGGAAGTCGGCGTGCTGGAGGATGGATCCTGTGTTCTGTGCATCAGTGGGATGGTTTGGGGCTCGGCTGAGCTCTGTGCAGTGCAGCAGCCTCGTGGCTCCTGGAAGCAGCAGGGAAGGAGAGCATCTGTCGGGTAAGGGAGTGCTGATAATGGGGTGATTGTCGGGCAGGGTTTGGGGAGGGGAGCGGAACTGTTAGAAGGGCGCTGCTGACAAGTGGGACTTTGTCATCCATCGAGCACTTGAGATTCACCACAAGGCAGGGAGAAAAAGGCTCCCTTTTTATGGGGAACAAAATCAGAGCGGGGGCAAAAGGGGGAGGTGAGGGGAAAGGTGGTTCCCAGGACATGTGATAGCACAAAGGGGACACCAGGGGACACCCCCAGCCCAGGGGGGCACCGGGCTGCTGCCATCCCCACAGCCTCCCTGAGGCTGGTCAGCTGCCTTTAAAAGCAATGGGGGAATAGCTGACCCTGATGCTGCCTGTTGGTGAAGTGCTTCTGGGAGTGTGGTACCCACAGCACCTGTTTGGGGCTGGGAGAGATGGGCCTGGGGGATGGGATTCTTGTTGAAACGTCGCAAAGCATCTCTCCTTTTTTTTTTTCTTTTTTCCTTTTTAAATCGAATTTGCATCTCATTTTGGCTCGTCCATCATCACCCCCCGCCGACAGAGGCAGACCTGGGGATGTCAGCAGCAGCAGCAGCAGCAGCAGGTGAGCTGAGCTCTTGGCCCCGCCCCCTCCTCGATGTGGCCCCGCCCCCTTTACGACCACGCCCCTCCGTGCCCCGCCCCTCTCCGCGCTCTCTCCGGGGCCGCCGGTAGGTGCGGGGTTGCGGCCGGGGTGGGCACGGGGACCCCCGGGGGGAAAACGGGAGCGGAGCTGGGCTCGGAACCGGGACCGGGCGTAACCCTGGGGTGCTGCCGTGCTGCCCTCGGGGCGGAGCGGTCCCCTCCAGCCCCGGCCTTGCGGCCCCGCTGCCCCCGCTCCCCCACCCGGAGGAATTTCCCTCCCGTCCCGCAGCTCCGCCCGCCCCGCACATGGGGGTGGATGCCTCGGGGGTTCTCAGCGCCGCCTGCAGCTGCCAAACGGCCGAGGTATGGGGCGGGGAGGGGTTCCGAGGATGCGTCTGGGGGGCTGCGGTGGCGCTGCTGTTTGCAAATCCTTCCGGGTCCTTTGCGGGGGACGGGGCTGTGTCTGCAGCCGGGGAGGGGGAAAGGCGGAACGCGGCGCTTCTCCCGTCCGCGGCCCCCTGCGTCTGTCCCCCATCTGACGCAGGGAAATAAGAAGCGCCAGATCAGAGGGGTTTTGTTGGTGCGGTGCTTTGTCCCTCTGCAAGGGAGGAGATGTGTCCCGGTCCGGGCTGTTCTCTGCTCTGTGGCCTTTGGAAGGGAGCAGCTCAGGCGTGGTGGACAATGGGATCTCAGTTTGGAGAAATTAAACCCGAGTTTTAAGTCGAGTTATGCAATGGAGCAGTACAATGCTGTATGTGGTGCTTTTCCGGGGGGGCTCAGCTGTGTGGCTCAGGAGGAGGTGGGCAGGCTTAGTTCCTGGTGAGGGAAGATGGAGCTGAGTGCTGGAGGGGCTGTGGGGACACTGAGAGCCCCCATCAACTCCGTGGGAGCCGAGGCTGAGCACCCATCAGCCCAGTCTGCCCCCGAGCTTTGGGGTCTATCAGGATTGATGCCCAAGGAGAGCAGTGTGGGGTCCCCAGCGGTGCTGTGATGGTCGGAATGAGCACCACAGGGACAGCAGTGCGGGCTCCTCCAGGCTCCCCACGCAGCACTGTGAGCTGTGCCAGCCTGTATCCTCAGCCTTAGCAGAGGAAAGTGTTCCTTCCCTATCTGTCCGTCTGACTGTCTGTCTCTTGCGCAGCTCTCCACTCCCTGTGCCGTTGCCATGTCCCGCAGCCCACCAGCAGCCGAGGACCAGACCTTCCTCCTGGAGTACCGCTGCCACCCGCTGCGATCCGGACCCCCTGCACCAACCTCCCCTCCAGGCAAGCGCAATCCTGACTGTGCCATGAGCTGCTTCCCCATGGCTGAGCCGCGCCGCATCGTGCTGAGCACCGACAGCCCGGCTGCGCTGAAGGTGGGCACGCAGCAGCTGATCCCCCGGAGCCTGGCGGTCTCCACCAAGACCAAGAACCCCACGCGGAACCCCGGCGCTGGATCCATCCCTGATGCTGCCTGCTCGGGGCAGAAGCGAGCGTCCGTCCCCAACGTCACGCTGCAGGAGGACACGGAGGAGGATGGAGGAGGGATGCTCAAACGCAACCTGAGGAACATGTCGTACCGTGCAGCCATGAAGGGCGCGGGCACGGAGACGGAGCCTGTGAGCACCGTGCCTACACTGAAACCACTGCAGGAGGAGGGGAGCGCTCTGCCTGCCCGCAGCCCTGGCAGAAGCAAGGTGGGTTTGGTGCAGGGATGGAACCTGGTGGTGATGGGGACAGGAGTGGGCTGAGCTGTGTGCCTGCATCTGTTGCTGTGCTGGTGGGCTGGCTGAGCCAGGTGAGTTGAGCCTGGGAGTCTGCCTGGCACCAGCAGCTGCTTAGGTCCACAGAGGGCCTGGAATCTGCTTCTGCAAGAAGCAGGGCTGGCTCCTGCAGGCAGTGCATGGGCGTGGGTGAAGCAGCACTGCCAGCACCCAGGCGCCGGGCAGGCAAAGTCCAGGTGTGGGGCAGACAGCTGGGAACAGCGGCGAGCAGCAGCAAGCTTGCTGAGATGGTCACCCCGATAACACAAGGCTGGAGCTGAGTCACTGCAAACAACCACTCAGAGTCAGGCTGGGGGAGCAGGGCAGTGTGTGTGAGCTGCTCCCTTTCTCAAGGGAACTGAGCGCAGCTGGTGGCACTGGGGCACATGGTGTGAGCTCTGCAGCCATCAGGGCAGCACGGTGGCAGCTCCTCTTCTTCCTCCTGCAGAGAACCCTGGGGCGGAAGCGGGTGCAGAAGCACGGCGGCTCATTCAAGGACCGTGAGTGCTGCATGCCCTCACCCCATGGCCTTCCCTCCGTGCTGTCATTGTGTACTCCCCCTTTTCCAGTCCCTTTGCTGCACGTGTGCCACTGCATTCCTGTTTGCTGAGGAGAGTGCAGCCACACTTGCAGCTGGAACACTCCTGCCTCTGTTTGCTCAGAGCAAACACTGCTGGGGACGTGCAAGCTGCTGCTTGACCAGCGCCGTGCAAAGTCCGTCCCAGCAGGGCGAGGCGGGCTGCAGGAGGCTGTGCTCACTCTGCACCTCTCCCCATGCAGAGCCACGGCTGTACCAGGAAATCCGTGAGAGAGGGCTGAACTCAGTCAGCCATGAGTCGGACGAGGATTTGCTGGAGGAGCCCAACCCTGAGGAGCCGTCCCTGCCTGGTGCTGCCATCGTGGTGCGGAGCTATCGGCCCGCACAGGTCACCTGGAGCCAGCTCCCAGAGGTACATATGCCAACCTCCTGCTTTCCTATGTCTTTTGCTCGGTCTGAGAGGGCCAGGCTGTACCTCCCTATTGTTAATGATTGTTCCTTTGCTCATCCACCCTTGCAAGCAGCCCTTATGGCACAAGCAGGTGCCTCGCTCATTGAAAAGAAGCAGGGCAGCATGTGTTTTAAATTCAGAGCTGCCACCCAGTAGGGAGCAGCTCATCCTGCAGCACTGTGCTATGGGATGCTTTGGGGCCAGCTGGGACACGCCGGGCTCCCAGCAGGTCTGGGCTCGTGGGATGTGTCTGCTGTTTAATGCAGAGTGCTCCCTGCCTGTGAAGCAGCTCTGCTACCTGCAGAACCACGCGGTTCTTGTGCAGGCCCAGCAGAGCCATTTTCTGCACTGAGTTTCACCCACAGGTGCTGGAGGCGGGCTTGCTGGAGGCCATAAAGCCTGAGGAGCGCAAGAGGCAGGAGGTGAGCACACGGTGTGCCAGGACTGAGGGCACATCCTGCAGAAGTCCTTGATGCCAGGCAGTGCGTGGGATGGGGGATGCTGAAAATGCCTTTTCCAGTCATTACGAATGTAAATAACATACAGTTGTTATTAAATAACAGATGGGCATCATTGGTGTGAATGAGATGCAGTAGGCTTTTAATTCACGCCCTTGCTATGCCAGTAATAATGCAGCTTGCTGTGCTGCATCTCCCTGCCTTGCTGCTTTCAGGCGATGTTTGAGATCATCACATCAGAGTACTCCTACATGCACAGCCTGAGTGTGCTGGTGGGCTGCTTCAAGAAGTCGGAGGAGCTGAAGGAGACCATGACCCAGACGGAGCACCACCACCTCTTCTCCAACATCAGCGACATCCTGGCTGTCAGCACCAAGTGAGTGAAGCACTGTGATGGTAGACCTCTGCAGCTCAGTGATGGAGGGGCAGCATCCCTGGAAGTGCTGAGACATCCATCCCCTGATTGTACTTCACCCAGCACGTGTCCCTACAGTGCTGCAGCATCATCTTGTTGTTGCATGGTTGCGATGGCTGGGTCAGTTTTGGCTTGAGGGATTTGTCAGCAGGAGCAGCACATCATATTTTGAATAGCAGTGCCCATGCCTGCTGCAGAGCTCCCCATCACTGTGCCGAGAGTTTTCCTGTTTCCTGGAAGCTCCCAGCTGGGGATTCCCAGATGGGATGCAGGGACTGCAGCTGTGTGAGAACCGACGCGGGGGCGGCAGGACCTTGGCTCTTCCTGCAGCAGGGAGGGACCTCGCTGGGCGAGGGGAGCTTCATGTAGGGGCTGTGAGCTGCCCTGGAGATGCAGGTGGCCCTGCAGGGGACAAGGTGTGCCCTGAGCACATGGTGTGTCCCTGCCACCAACCTGGGCATGGCTTTGTGTGTGTGGAGCAGCTGTGCCCGCTGGCTGCGGTGGCGTGGGAAGCAGTCCCAGTGTGGAAATGTCTTTTCAGAGCAAAGAGGTTGTTCTGCTCAGGGGAACACGTGGTGTCTGGGGATGGTCTGAGCAGAGCCTGTTGATGGCCAAGTGCACTGCAGTTTGTTTCTCTCCTTAGGCAGCCCCCCGAGCTGTGCAGCTTGTGCATTGCTCTGGACAGTTGATTTCTTTAATTCCTAAGCCAGAAGGCTTTTGCTGCCCCAGACCCAATCTGTGCTTCTGCAGAGTCACCACCTGCCCACAGTGCTGGGATGTGGGCAAGGCTGTGGATGAAGCAAAGGCCAGAGCTGGGGGGGATCCCTGAGGGTAAATGTGTGAGGGAGGAGGGAGGACACGAGCTCAGGGGACAGAGCAAGGCATGTGGGGGAAGGATGGGCTGCAGTAAATGGCAGATCAGCTCTGTCCTGCCCTGGTGAGTCATGCAGTGAGATTGTCCGACTTCCTGTCCTTAGCTTCTTCCAAGCCCTGGAGAAACGACACCAGGAGAACGTCCTCATCCCCGACATCAGTGACATTGTGGAGGAGCACGCCTCGAAGCACTTCAACCCCTACATCAGTTACTGCTCCAACGAAGTCTACCAGCAGAGGACACTGCAGAGGCTGCTGTGAGTATGGCTCTTACAGGGAGCTCCTGCAGGTGGGATGTATGAGGGGTGCATGCAGAGCCTGCTTGACCCAGAGTGTGCTGGGGGTGCAGGTGTGTTTCCAGTTGTTTTTTCATTGCCTGCTGCTCCAGCTGTGCTCACTGTTGCTGAGCCCCAGAGGCAGCACTGCACTGTGTTCTTCATGTATGGGAATCCTCTGGAAAAACATGATACCTGAAAGAACAGCACTAATGGAGATTTCTTGTCCCATTCCAGAAACACAAACCCCTTATTTAAAGAAGCCTTGAAACAAATTGAAAGGAAACCAGAATGTGGAGGGCTGCCACTGATATCATTTCTCATTCTCCCCATGCAGAGAGTAACGCGGCTTCCTCTGCTGTTAGATGTAAGTAAGTCACACAGCAGCATTGCTTGGCACCTCTGGAGAGGGGACCTGCTTCCAGGTGTTGGTTTGCTGAGCCACGAGAGCCTTCTGCTCTGAACACAGATCCCAGCTCAGCAGCTGCTCTGCCGTTGCTCTGTCTTGCAGTATCACTAAAGCCTCTTGTCTTGACATTCTAGACAGTGTGTCAAAAAACACAAGCATGCACTGCAGCATATGGAGCTGCCACCAGAGCTCTGAAAGCCATCAGCAAGGTGAGGACGGCTGCCTGCTCCCCATCTCTCCTCTCTCCCAGCACTCTGTTTCACCACCCTGGTCCCAAGCCTGCCCTTCTGCCCTCTTACTTTTCCTTCTGACATCAGTTCACTTGACATCCTCACTGCAAATAGCAGTGGGATGTACACATCTTTTCACTTGTCCATTTGTTTCACTTGATGGTGTTTTTTCCTTCTCTTTGTCCCCTTTTCTTCATTCCTCTTTGGCCCATCCTTTGTCCTTCTCTTGACTGTATCTTCCACTGGTGCTTTCCTGGCCTCAGAACTGCCGTGGAGGTGAGTGCACTGCAACTCTTACTTGTCTTATTGGGACCCTCACCAGCAACACTTGTATCATCCTTCCTTTCATCCACCCATTCTCTCTTGTCTTTTTCCAGCTGGTTAAGAACTGCAACGAAGGAGCTCGTGCAATGGAGAGGACAGAGCAGCTGTACACCCTGCAGAAGCAGCTGGAGTTTGGGAAGAAGAAGGTGAGGATGCGTGGCGGTGGGGCTGAGCAGGCTGTGGGCTGGAATAGCTGCCTGTTGCTGTGGTGTTTCCATCCACCAGACCTAAGGTCTAATCTGAGTTGTTTTTATCTGCCACGTATGAGACAAATGCTCCTTCGGGTTTTCTCTGTTGCAGCCTTTTCCCCTGATCTCTGCCTCTCGCTGGCTGCTGAAGCGGGGTGAGCTCTACCTGCTCTCCTCGGAGGAAGGAGGAATCTTCCGTAAGGGCTCAGGCAGGGTCTGCCACCTCTTCCTCTTCAATGACGTCCTGATCATCACCAAGAAGAAAAGGTACAGCTCAGGGCCTTCCTCTGGCACAGGACTGGGGGGTTGGCATCTTGCTTCCCCAGGCAGCATTAGGAAACCTCAAGGCTGCCTTGTTGTGGCCACGAGGGAGGCATTTCTTGTGAACGGGCCAAAGACATTGGGTGGAGCCCACTTGGGGGCAATGCCATGCGGGGAGGAAGCTCTGAGAAGCCCCTTCTGTCCCTGCTGCAGTGAGGAGAGCTACACCGTCATGAACTACGCCATGCTGGACCAAGTCTCCGTGGAGAAGATGGAGACCACAGAGCCACCATCTCCTCCTCCCGGCCGCCCAGGTGGGCACCTGCTGCGTGTGGCCATGGAGAGGGACAGCGAGGGCCGGCGGGAGGAGGTGCTGCTGTCAGCAGAGACACTGTGAGTCCTGAAAGCCTCCATCCCTGGGGGGAGGTCTCTCCTTCCCGGCCAGCAGCAGGATGCCATCCGTGGCCTTTCCTGCTCATGTTGGTTTATCCTTTGCCAGGAGTGACCGGGCACGCTGGGTCACCGCGCTGATGCACCGGGAGCGAGAGCAGCCTGACAGCACTCCCCGTGGAGGTGGGGGCCAGCATGGCCGTGTGCATGGGCCCCCACTCAGCCTGAGATGCACCAATCCCACGTTCTTCACTGGTTCTGTCCTTCCCTGCAGACCTGAGCCAGGTGGAGATCACCCGTGCCTACATGGCCAAGCAGGCAGATGAGATTTCCCTGCAGCAGGCTGATGTGGTGCTGGTGCTGGGCGAGGAGGATGGTGAGTGGGGTCTGTGCTGGGGTGGGGCACGGCCTCAGAGGATCTTCCACAGCATCACAGGGAGTGAGCTCTGTGCCCACAGCCTACAATATTGGGCCTGGAAGCTGACGGAGCCCCTGCAGCCTCCTGCTGTGGGTGCTTCCTAGGTATGCTCACATCCCATTCTCCTCCCAGGCTGGTGCTGGGGTGAGCGGCTGCGGGACGGGGAGCGGGGCTGGTTCCCCCAGGCCTGTGCTCGACCCATCACCAGCCGTGTGGCCGTGGAGTGCAACGTGCGGCGCATGGAGCGGCTGCGGATCGAGACGGATGTGTAACGGCCAGGCCTGACCCCATGGGAGTCCAGAGCTCTGTACACTGAGCCAGGAGGCAGAAGGAGAGCCATTCTTCCTGGGTGTGATGGGACTGGTTGTGGTAGCAGGGTTGATGGCCGTTAATTAACATAGGACCTGGCATCCAGGTGCCTTTAGCCAAGCATTAGGGTGTCCTTGCCCGGTGCAAAGCTGGCTTTCTCCTCCAACTCAGCACCAAGGAGTGGTTAAGGATGAGGGTCAGAGCAGAGAATGGTGCTGTGGCCGCTGAGCAGCTCAGGCCTGTTTGCAATGGGAGGAGTGCTGGAGGCAATGGGAATTCTCAGGGCAGCATTGCTCTGATGTCTCTGTTTGCATCAAACTGCCAAAGGATGAAGGAGACCAACAATAAATTCTTGGATCCTAATGAGACAAGCGTCCTCCTTGTCCAAAATGCAGCAGTGGGCCCCCAACCAAGGAGCCAAGTGCTCCCCATTGCTAACAATCAGCAGGAAGCTCCATCTGACAGCTGTGTGTTTGCTGCTGGTTGGTGATGGATGTGGCTCAGGAGCCGTCCTTCAAAAGAGCTGCAGTGCCATTCACATTCACTAACTGAAGGGAAGAAACAAGGCCAACAGAAGTTCGGTGAGGCTGTCTGTTTATTTCTATCAACTGTGAAAGAATAAGAATTGTTAATCAGTGCTAAATTAAAGGAGACAAGAGGCCTAAGACACAGACAAGTAAGTGCTGCATGAAAACAAGCAGCAAAACGTATTAAGAAACAAAACCAGTAAAAAACAACCATGATCTGAACAATGGAATTTCTGCATTCCCTGCTCAGAAAGGCACTGTGCTCAGAGGCTTGCCTGCCCCCCCAAGGAAATAAATAGAAAGCTCAGGTGCGTGCCAATGGCACACAACCACTGAGTGGGTGGAGAATAGGCACCAAGAACAGCAGGAGCCCATGGGTGTTTGGCACATCACCACCTCTTCCTCCTCCCTGCTTCCTGCTCATACAACACCCAACCTCAGTTACACCATTTTGGTCCTTCACTATGTGCTTAATAATTTCTTCACAATGATGATACCTAAAGCCAAAAAAAAAAAAAAAAAAATCAAGGAAGAAGTAAGAAAAAAATTAATTAGTAAAAAAATTACAAGTTATTTACAGATTAAAAGAAAGTCCATCTGGAAGCAGTTCTTTGGCTCCTGTGGGATGGGACCAGGACCAGGTGCTGGGCCACCACCCCTGCAGGGCTGCGGGCACCCACAGCTTTGTGCCAATGTGTCCCTGTCTGGATTGGGTGCTGCAGGTTCTTGGTCAGCTCTCCCCCCTCCAGCTGGCAGCTCTGCAGAGCTCCTGCACTGCTGTGGTATAGCTTGCCATAAATATTTTTGAATAAATACCTATTTTCAACCATAATGTCAACCCTTTCCCTCCAAACCAAGCACCCAACACCCAGAGGTGAGGGCCAGCAGCTGCAGAGCAGTCCTACAGCCCACATCCAGCCCAGGCAGCACCCAGCTCCCATCTGCCATGAGCTGCTTGTCACTCGAGTGCCTTGGGAACAAGTCCTCCAGCTGGGTCGTGTGCTTCTGCAGGGCCCTGTGGCTGTGGCAGGACGTGGTGCTCCATCCCCTGCAGCGCTGGGGACCTGGTGGGCATCTGGGCTGGCACAGCTGGAGGAGAAGGGGACAGCACTCAGCCCTTGTGCTGCAGGCAGCACCCAGGGCTGGCACAGCACAGGGCTGGGCTCACCTTCCTGGCACGAGGAGCCCATGGAGCCGTGGTGGCAGTGACAGCGGCCGGTCTGGGCACTGCACTGGGAGCTGCTGGCACAGGTGCAGATGAGTGCACAGTTGGGGCCATAGTGGTTCACAGGGCACGCTGTAGGGCAAAGGGATCAGACTGCTGTGCTACCCCAACGTGGCAGGGCAGGCTCTGGGTTGGGTAAGGTCATCTCTCCAATGGGATGCACGCAAAACAGTGCTCTTCCATAAGACATCAGCTCCAACAAGACATGTTTGTACCCATCTGAGGGCTGTATTTCGATCCACCACCCACGTTCCTTGCATTTCCCTGCTCACCTCATTGCCCATCCTCACCTGAGTCACACCTGGGGCCAGTTGTTCCCGGAGGACAGAGGCAGTGCCCCGTGATGCGGTCACAGGGCGCATTCCCCACGCAGTCACAGCGCTGCCGGCATCCCTCACCATACATCCCTTCCTCACAGCCTGGTTTGGGACAGGAGAGGGGCACAGCTGTGCCAAATGGCTCTGAGACATAGCAGAGGGGCTGGGGGGCACAGTACCTTCCTGGCAGCGGGGACCCTGCAGCCCCACAGGGCAGTGGCAGCGGCCGGTGGCCGGGTCACAGGCAGCTCCATGGGCACAGTCACAGCGCTGCTGGCAGTCGGTCCCATGGAAACCCGGGGGACAACCTGGAAAGGAGCATCCAGAGAGAAGCACAGAGCTGTTCTCTCTGAAACATGCCCGTGTTGCATCCCCTCAGTTACAGGGAGCAGCACACATGGGCCCCCTGCTCCTGCCCACCCCCTCAGCTCACCATGCTCACACAGGGCCCCATAGCGTCCTGGGGGGCAGCGGCAGGCACCAGTGATGCGGTCGCAGGAGGCATTGTGCCTGCAGGCACAGCGCAGCTGGCAGTCAGCACCAAAGCTCCCAGCTGGGCACTCTGTGGGGCACAGGAGGGCAGCTCAGTGGGCAGTGAGCCACCAAGCAGGCTGGGCTGTGCACATGGAGCAGCTGTACCTAACTCGCAGGATTTCCCAGTCCATCCCAGCCCACAGGTGCAAGACCCATCGGTGGCATTGCACAGCCCTCCATTCTGGCAGGAGCAAGTCTGCTGGCAGCCCACCCCGTACTGCTGTGGTTGGCAGCCTGCAGGATAAGGGCACAGTGCTGGGCACAGCAGGAAACAAGTGTCCTCCTGGGACCTTTCCCCTGCAGCTCGCAGTTACCTTGCTCACAAGTGGGACCGACTCTTCCCGGTGGGCACAGGCAGTCCCCGGTGACGTGGTGGCACGTGGCCCCCTCCCCGCAGGCACACAGCTGTGCACAGTCTGTACCATAGTGGCCGGTGGGACACACTGGTGGGAGGGACACCTTCAGCTGCCTTCATCACTGCAGTGCCTGCAGGCTGCGCTTGCAGGGCAGAGCTTTTGCACTTCCCTCTGCTGGAGAAGCAGAGAGGCAGCCATACCCAGATGGCACGATGCAAAAGCTCATGGAGAACATCATTTTGGCACTCAACAAATGGTGCAAGACGGTGCTTCCAGTGCTAAGACAGCAAATGAGATCAGCTGCAGCTGCCCTCCCATAGCATATACCAAAGCAGGGAGACCAGCCGTCACCATGCTGCCATTTCCTCCCCCCCAGCCCCATTCCCATACACTCACCAATGCTGCAGTCAGCACCAATGTATCCTGCTGGGCAGTGGCACGTCCCCGTGGTGCGCTCACACCACCCATTCTTGCACTCACACGGCCGCTCACAGCCAGGGCCGTACCAGCCCATAGGGCACTCTGCACAGCAAAGCAATGATTGCATGGCGCCCAGCGAGGTGAGAGCAAGGCATCCATCCACCTGGAGCTACGGGCTCACCCAGCTCGCAGTCAGGCCCGTGGTGGCCAGGTGCACAGATGCAGGCACCGGTGATGGGGTGGCAGTCCTGGGTGGGTCCTGCACAGCGGCAGCGTTGGGCGCAGCGCTCCCCAAAGGTGCCAGGTGGGCAGGCTGCAGGGAGAGGGGCATTGTGTATCTGCAAAACCCCCTGACGCTGCAAACTCACCCCAGTCCCCTGCCTAAGCAACGTGCTCACACCCCTCTGCCCATTCCAGTGCCCATGGAATGATCCCTGATGCTGTGGGTACCCACGTGTCTCGCATGCAGCTCCGGTGAAGCCTGGCGGGCAGCTGCACTGCCCGGTGATGTGGTCACAGGGTGCTCCAGGGGGACAGGCACAGCGTTCTGCACAGCTCTTCCCAAACACTCCGGGCAGGCAGGCTGTGGGGACAGGAAAGACGTGGCAGGCTCTCCCCAACCTGCAGCAGCCAGGACTCCAACCCAATGCAGTCTCACCTTTCTCGCAGCGCTGGCCCCTCCATCCAGGGGGGCACTGGCAGGCACCGGTGATGGGGTGGCACAGCCCTTTGTCCCTGCAGTCACAGCGCTCCTGGCAGCCTGCACCAAAGTGCCCCTCCGGACAGGCTTGGGGTGCAAGCAGGGGAGAAATGACAAGTTAGGCAATAAAAAAGGGGCTCCTTTCACTGCAGGTGTGATAGCTGAGTGACTAAGCCCTTCTGCAAACAGACGCACGCACAAGTTGGTGTGAAAGAGTCATCTTAACTGCACCAAAGGTTTTTAGAAGGGTTTTTGGGCTAAGCATTGTTTAACAAGAGCTGGGTGCTGGCAGAACACATGGCTGCAATTTCTTCACTTTGCTGCTGTTGTCACAGAAGTACCTAAAGCAGCTGCAAACCAATATCTGCAGTACCAGCATGAGCCAGAAGTCAGCACTACAGCTGCAAAAATCTGGGAGTTCAGCTTTCATGCCTGCTCCATGAATGAATGCACAGAGCAGCATGACCCGAGCAACTCTCAAAGCTGGTCTATGCAGAGTGGTGAGGGTGTGTGGGGATGGGGAGAAGCTTTGGTTCAGAGCAGGAGCCCAAACCCAAACTCTTTCCAGCCCTCGTGAAATTTTATCTTTACCTTAAAACCACAGCACCCACCCCCAAAACCACAGCACCCACCCTGACCGTGGCACCCCAAGCCTTCCAGCTGCTGCAATCCAAATGTTCAGCTCTGCACTGAGCAGGCCCTGCTCCCACACCCCACATCCCACCAGCCCTACTCACGGCTCTCACAGGTGCTCCCACTCCAGCCAGGTGGGCACTGGCACTGTCCCTGCAGGTCACAGACCCCCCCGTTCAGGCAGGCACAGAGCTGCCCACATCCATCCCCATGCCCGTCAGCGCACGCTAGGAGAGAGCAAATGGCAGAGCTGTCACCCCAAAGGCAAACCACCCCAAAATGGGACCGGCTGCTGGCAGAGCCCATGTCCTGATGCTGTTGGCAATGTCCTTACCCAGCTCGCAGGCCAGCCCGGTCCATCCCATTGGGCAGGTGCAGTGCCCCGTGGCAGGGTCACACATCCCCCCATTCTGGCACAGGCAGCGCTGGTAGCAGCCCATCCCATAGAAACCCTCTGGGCATGCTGGGGGGAAACCAAAAGGCAATCAATCAGAAATCCACTCCAGGCATGAGCCAAAGGCAAAGCTGAGCCCCCAGCAGCATGCCCAGGGATGGGAGGGCATGGAATGAGGATCCTAAATTTTCTAAACCTGAAACCAAACCCTAAAAGCACCCTTTTTCCCCCAGCCCAGTGCCAAGCTGAGTAATGAAGTGCAGGAGGAAGCCTGTGGCTGAAGGTGATGGCTGTAATTAAAGCAGATTGGACACTGCTGGAACAAATGGCCACATATAGGGCATACATGAAAGGAATGGAAAAACATTTGGTGCCTTCTGAGCCTCCGCCGTCCCACCGCTGCTAAGAAGGACTGAATTTATACACCCCACTGGGCTGCCTGATCTCTCAGAAATGCCTCAGCCCTGGTGGTGGCACATAGCCCAAAAAACGCTGGGTGAAGGCAGCAGCCATGGCGAGCATCGGCACAAAGAGCCATTTAAGCACATGAATAATGCTCTCGTGCTCAATTGCACTGAGCTGTGCCCGAAGGCACTGCAGCAAGCAGCCAAGCCCTCACCCTGTGCTGCTACAGAACTGCGAGCCAGGGCAACTTCTGCAATCTCCTGGCATCTGTCTGTGGGAATGAATGGGAAGTGCTGATAGTCTCGCTTGCAATCTTTGCCTTGCTATCATCTGCCTCAGGTTTTTGCATCTACTACCCCCACTGAAAAGCGCAGCCCAGCCCAAGCAATGGCATTTCTAGCACCCCCAGCTAGGTTGGGCAGCAGCAGGGCACATTACCTTGCTGGCACTTGGGTCCCATCCAGCCAGCAGCGCACAGACAGCGGCCAGTGATGTGGTCACACGTGGCGTTGTTGGAGCAGCTGCACACCTGGCTGCAGGCCTCACCAAAGCTGCCCTGCGGGCACGCTGCAGGAGAGACACAACTGTCAGCAACAGACATGCGTGGCATCATCCAGTCCCACCAGCAGTGCCTTCTGCCTGCAGCAGGGACCAGCAAACAGCCTGACCATAATGACCATCCTGACCCCATGGGTTGTTGCTGCTTTTGGCCATGCATGCATTGGTTTTATGGTGCTATATGGAGAACCCACAGCAGCACTCTACGTGTGGCTGCTACTCCAACACATGGGCACTGTTATCCTTAGCGTGACATCACGTTATCTGTGAGGGAGCTGTTCTGCCAGGATCCCCAGCCCTTGTCAGATCCAGCAGCAACATGCTCAGGCACAGCCTTCAGGAGCAGCCCCTGAACAGGGGACCTTTGCCAAGAGGGTTCTGTGAGGCTGCGTCTGCTCCAGATCACTGCTGGGCAGTCCAGGTTCAAAGCACCTTTGAACCATTTCAGTCTGCAAAGCTTGGCTAAGAGCCGTGTAAGAATAGAGCCCCTATGGAGAGATTTGGTATTTCCTCCTTGGCACCCAAATAGACGCAGCACACAACACTGCCCCTCTTGGCACGAAGAGCTCAGAGCCTGGCCAAAACCTGGCACTGCGTGGTGCATGGAAACAGATGTTGGGATGACAACAGTTCCATCAGTGTTTCAGTGCTGTGAGATGTGGGATGGGGGCTGTGCTGTTCTCAGCAGCAAAAACACCAGCAAAAAAAAAAGGACATGAACTGAACCATGCCAGAGGGATCCCAGCACAAACTAAGGGAATTGCTCTGCATACCCAATGTTGGAGCAATAGCAAAGCTGTGTGCGTTGCATGGGGCCAGATCCTGCCCTGGGGACACTCACCATGGGCACAGAGGGGGCCAGTCCAGCCCGGGTGGCAGTGGCACTGCCCAGTGATGGGGTCGCAGGGGGCTCCATTCTGGCAGTTGCAGGCATGCTGACACTCAATGCCATAAAATCCATCTGGGCAGGCTGTAAGGAACAAAGCAAACAGCCCAGAGGGTCTGTAAGAAGAATGGATGGCTCTTAGAGGTGCGCAGTGGGTGAGCAGACACCCAAGGATCACTCCATGCCCTGGGGTACTCACAGTGCTCACAGAAGGTCCCCCGCCAGCCTGCAGCACACACACACGCCCCGCTGATGTGGTCACACATGGCCTCATGCTCACACTGGCAGCGGTGCCGGCAGCCCAACCCAAACCATCCTGCTGGGCACCCTAGAGAGTGAGCAAAGAGCACTGAGGAACCATTCTTGGGATTATGCTACAGTGGGAGCTCAGGTTAGGACAAAAGGGATCTGGAAGGATATGACTGCCTCGTGTTTAAAACGAGGGTCCGCTGCTCACAGATGTACCCACAAACCCACCAGGACAGCATCATGGGGACTCAATTACCACTGCCATGGCACCGACCCTTCCCACAGGGCTCTGGGAAACAAACCTGAGCCCAAACACATTGCAGCACACACTCACGCTCCTTGCAGTGGCTGCCCGTGTAGCCTGGATCGCAGGCGCACTGCCCCGTCACCGCATCGCAGCTCCCGGTGCTGCTGCTGCACTCGCAGACATTGGCACAGCCTGGGCCCCAGCGCCCTGCGGCACAGCCTGCAACACAGGCACGGCATGGGGATGGCAAAGAAGCCAGCCCCAGCCTCACACTGCACAGCTCAGGGTCTCCTATGAACGATGCATGATGAGGACAGGCACTGTACCTCTCCGGCAGTCATGGCCTGTCCAGCCGGGTGCGCAGCTGCACGTCCCCGTCACAGGATGGCAATGTCCCTCATTCCCACAGCTGCAGCTCTGCTGGCAGTCCTGACCGAACCAGCCAGGTGGGCACACTGCAATGCAGGGACATGAGCTGCAACTCCTCAGCGAGCCCAGGGCACAGCACTCACAGCCACAAGCACAGCACTCACCATCACGGACCCAACATTCACCATGACCCCAGCGCTCACCTTAATCCTGAAACTCACCATGACTCAATGCTCACCATCACGGACCCAGCATTATCCACATCCCAGTGCTCACCATCATAGGCCCAACACTTATCGTGACCCAACACTCACAATCATGGACCCAGAATCCACCACGACCCAGTGCTCACCGTAACCCAATGCTCATCACAACCCAATGCTCACCACCATGACCCAATGCTCACCATCCTGGCAGCGGCTGCCAGTGAAGCCCGGTGGGCACACGCATGCTCCCGTGGCAGGGTCACAGCTACCATTGTTGGCACACTCAGGACACAGCTCCTGGCAGCCGAGGCCCCAGCGACCCTCTGGGCAGGCTGCAGCAATCAGAGAGAACAAGGGCAGCTCAATGCCTCTGGTAAGCAGCACAGAGTAGGGTGAGGGCTCAGCTTGGGACTGGAGATGGGCTGATTCCTCATTGCCTTTAGACAGGGACAAAGGGCTGTATGACCCCCATGCAGAGAGCTGGCAATCAAAAAGGCAAGGTGGGAAGTCTAATTTCTTGTTAGTGGATCCCCTGTCTAGTTTGTATGCTTTTGTTTGGGAATACACGGCTAGCAGTAAAGACAACATCACCGTGTTTGTTTTACAAACATCCCTCAGTAAGTGCTAGCCTGCCAGGGCCCTCGTGTCAACTTGAGATTCACATCTGCTGCTGGGGAGCAGAGCTCCTGGCAAGGCGTCCTAACCTGGCAGCCACTGTCACCCCGCAGGAGCTGCAGGAGGGACGCAGACTGCTGACGGCTGAGCAGGGCAGCTGAGATGCTGCAGGGTTGGGGACAGGGCCAGCTCACTGTATTTGGAACTGTTAGGAGCAGGCCATCCAAACACCATCAGTGGCTTCCAGCTGCTGTCACACAGCACGAGAAGCGCTCACCTTGGGCGCAGTCGTGCCCTGTCCATCCCGGTGCACACACACACCGCCCACTGACCGCATCGCAGGGAGCCCCGCCGCAGGGGCAGAGCAGCAGGCAGCCGGCCCCGAACCGCCCTGCGGGGCACTCTGCAAGCAAACAGCAGTGAGAGCTGCAGGTTACAGAGCTGCACACAGGCCAAGAGCTCCTACAGACCCCTCTGAGCCCCCAAGACACACACGTGGTCTTCTTTTTGTTCCTTCAAGACACACGTGCACCAGCACTCACAATTAGCGCAGGAAAAGGCGCCCTAGCTCGTAAATTTCAAGTGACACAGTGGAGTTTTTGTTATTCCTGCTCTGTGCTAATTGATGGCAGATGTTTGTCTTCACCCTTTAATCATTTCCAGGTCCCAACAACAGCCAAAAGCCTCCTATTTCTGTACAAATATTTGTGTTATTTCCTGTGACTCCCCCCTACAGGCTTGAGCTCCTTTCTTATTCCTTTTATTAACTATCCTCAACTGAGCACCCGGGAGCTGCAGAGCTGCTGCAGCCCTCTGGAATGAATGAATGCAATATGGGATGCAAGAACCTACTGCACTTCCACTCACAGCCTTGGGGTTCTTAGAGCAGAAGTTAAGCTGCCCCATTTGACAACAGGAGGAAAGCAGGGAGGGTGAGCATGGAGCTCAGAGAGAGAAACTGCTCCGGGAACTTCATACAAAGGCAGAAGTGCAAGTCCTAATGTGCACCAGGTACAGAATCTGCCATGTGCAGATCAAACAGAACTTCAGCAGGGGAAAAAGAACAGAAGGGGAAACACAATGCCATTCTTCTGGGGACTGATGGTCTGGAAGTAAAAGGATATCAAAGAGAGGAAAAGACAGATCGATATCTGTCACCTTCATCTACAACAGCAGGGATGCCCATGGGGCAGGGCGCAGTGAGAGCTTGTCTTCCTTTTCTGAATAAGGATCTCCATGCACGAGAATCCTGCCTCCCTCTCTAAGCTCCCAGCTCTAAGAGATCCCAGATTTGGGTCATTGGAAGCCACTTCCAACCCCACCACCTCACCTTGGTCGCAGTTCTCCCCATGGTAGCCCTGGGGACACTCCTTCCAGCACTGCCCGGTGATGTGGTCACACTGCGTGTCTGGAGAGCAGCTGCACTTCTTCCTGCAGCCCTCCCCATAGCGGCCGGGCTCACACTCTGGGGACAAAGATAGCATGTTTAGTTCCTAATCTAGGCAAGCAAGAGGCGCAGAGGTCTCAGGAGGATGAAGCCTTGCAGCATCCATCAGGACACTCACTGCTCTCGCAGTGCACACCACGGTAGCCAGGCTTGCAGCAGCAGGAGCCGTCCCGCTTGTCGCAGTGCTGCGTGTTGGGCTGCACACAGAGGCATTCCTCGGAGCAGCCGGGGCCAAACGTCCACTTAGGGCACACTGCAGGGACAAGGACAAGGCAGCAGTGACCCTTCTGTTACAGCACCCAGCCCGAGGGCAGCATGCTCCCCATAACAGAGCCGTACCCAAGTGGCAGTACCGCCCGTACAGGCCAGGATCACACAGACACGCTCCGTAGATGCGATGGCAGCGACCTCGGTTGGCACAGTTGCATTTTTTCCTGCATTGCTTTCCAAAAAATCCTTTTGGGCACCCTGGTGATAGGGATGGAGAGGCGGTTTGGGTCTGTAATTTCATGTCTTGCAGGAAAGACACGTACCAAAATCGGAGTACAGCATCACAGACAAACCTAGGCACAGGGTAGTGAGGGAGGGACTGCTGTCTGACCAGGAATATGCTGGGGTCTCTAATAAGAGCAATGGGATTCCCTGCATCAGCTCAAAACTGAGTTCTCCACATGAGAAACATATGGACAGTGCACTGTGTCAGCACAAAGCTGCAGCACAGCCCTCCCCAGGTGGCCTGGCACAGCACAGCACTGCTTGCTTTAATCTCACCTTCCTGTTCTCTCTCTGCATCCTTCAACCACCTCCTTCCTACAGAAAGAAAAGCTCCAGCTATCTCCTGCCTTACTTCATATTCTCCTCCTTCAGTAACAGCTTCCATGTGATCCGAACCCTCCATCTGTGGCCAAACCCCTCATTGTTTCATTGATTCCATGCCCCCCAGATTTTAATTCTTTGGGAGCAAGGAATACCCTCAAACATGGGGATGACCAACCCCAGCAAACACAGAAGGCTCCAAAGAAGCAAATGACCAAGATGCTCATTGCTTTGGCAAGGGAAGAATACCAATGGAACACAGCTGTTTCTGCCCAAGGGCTCTCACCATCCTCACAGTGGATTCCAGCCACGCCAGGCGGGCAGCGGCAGGTGCCGGTGGTGGGCTCACAGGTACCCCCATTCTGGCACAGGCAGAGCTGGCTGCAGTTCTTGCCGAAGGTTCCAGGCGGGCAGGCTGTGGGACAGAGAGCACAGCTTTAACAGCACGCACAACTGTGGGTCTGACCTCTGAAGGTGCACTAGGGTCTATGCGCAGCATCACTCACTCTGGTTGCACAGCAGCCCGCTCCAGCCAGCCGGGCACTCACAGCCCGTCCCCTCCACGTTGCATGTGCCCCCATTCTGGCAGTCCTCACATGTCAGGCTGCAGTCGTGGCCAAAGGTGTTCTCCAGACAGACTGCAATAAGACAACATGGTGAGATGCCCTCCCCAAGACTGCCTCCAGCAACCCCAACATTACAGCCTGTGGCTGCTCATGCATCCACCAGGCACAAACCCAGCATCCATGATTCAAACTGGAGGCTTCCAAGCAAGAGGACCACAGCCACAAAATGCCCACCGAATGTTTCTGAAAGCGTGTGCTCCCCTCTTGCTTCCATCTCTTCCTCCTCTTCGTAGTCATCGCTGAAGAGCTGGGTGAGCTCATCCCGCAGGATGGCCACGTGGGGGATGGGGCGCACGATGGGGCGCCGGGCATCCAGGGCTTCCACTGAGTTCTCTACAGCTGGGGGAACAGCACAGAGACCACAAAGTCAGAGGGAGAAAATGGGAAAGAGCTCATCTGGGGGCGGGGAACGGTACAGAACTTCTGCCATAACAAAGGGAAACCAGAACTTCAGGGTTGGTGCAACTGCTTCGGCATTCATCACTCCATTGATATCTCTACAGCAGTGATCCACTCCTTCCCAATTGGCTTTTTCCAACTCATTGGCTTGTTTGGGGGCAGACTGCCCACCCAACAAAACTAAGGGATGCATTTCAGCTTGGTGTCCTTTTGGAACAAGCATGCATCAGCTACAGATCCTGGTTCCCTTTGTTCACAGGGCTACAAACCAGCCTAAACATGGCACTTGCAGCAGGGGCTGCACAGCCTATAAAGCCTCAGGGATGGGCAGGGCAGGCACTCTGATGGTGTAAGATTGTTTCCATGGTCCATGGGGGACAGGCACAGGGTGCTCAGCACGCAGCACTTACGGATGCAGCCCTTCCTGTCTCCATCCAGCTTGTACCCAACAGGACAGCTGCACTGGAAGGACCCCGCCTGGTTCTGGCACACGTGCTCACAGCCACCGTTGTTGGAGGAGCACTCATCCACATCTAGAACACAAAGGGGACGGCGAGCAGGTGGCAGCACCTCACTGGGTACACAAAGCTCTAAAAGCTGAAGGAGACTGCCCAAGTGATGGAGAGCTTCTGCTCATTGCAGGGGAGTGGGATCAGATGGTCTTCAAGGGTCCCTTCCAACTCCAGTGATTGCATGGCTCTATAACTGGGAGTGACTGGAAGAGATGCCTAGCTGCTCACAACCAAGCAGAACAACAACTTCTATTCATTAATAGCTTGCATTTGTCTCCACGTTAGCTGTGCTTCATACAGACGCTTGTATTTACCACCAACTCCACCAAGATGGAAATTACGGGCAACGCTCACTCCAATACTGAAAAAATGATGCGTGCAACTTGTGGCTGCATTCAGACCTGGAGCAACTCTGAGACAGCCCGACTTGAAGTCACTGAACTCAAAGCCCCACAGCCATGCTTGCCCAACGGATGGGTGCTACAGGAGCAAGGACAAAACACGCAGCGCATTGCATGCACCCTGCTCACCATCACAGGCACAGCCATCAGCACGCAGCCGGTACCCAGCACGGCAGGCACACTCGTAGCCCCCAGCGTAGTTGTAGCAGTCCTGCTGGCAGCAGTGAGAGCCATCCTCACATTCGTTGATGTCTAAATAAAAGCAGAGGGTGCTGGGTGTTCTCAGTACACGGCAGTAACAGCAGTTGTTAACACTGCTCCATTATAGCCTCATGGTCTATATGCACACAGCAGCTGACATGTGAGGGTTCCTTATGGCTTGGGATAGATTTGTGAAAACAAGGACCAAGCCTCGCCTTACCAGTGCAGGTCCTGTGGTCATCCTGCAGCTGATAGCCCGAGTTACAGGTGCAGACGGGGCCAGCGCTGCTGTGGTGGCACAAATGGGAGCAGCCACCATTGTCACTCTCACAGCTGTTCACAATCTCCATTTCTATCCCTGCAAAAGAAATTCCATCAGCATCCAGTGCCACGGGCACCAACTCCTTATGTGTGCTTTTGGTACACGGCCCTGCTGAGCAGAGCGGTGCTGTGCTGCAAGGAAGGGATGGGAATAGATGCTGGGCTGGAAAGGACTGTACAAAAATAACCCTGTGGAGCCCCTCGGGGACAGGCTCATGGTCAAGCTGAGATGAACCAGACTGCAGACAGAGCTGCTCCCATTCCTGACGAGCTGCAGGATGTGCTGCCAACCAGAGTTGGCTCAGCCTTCCCAGCACAGAGCTGTTTGGATGCCAGCTGGGAATGGGAGCAGCTGAGTGCTGCAAACATCCAGATGCCTGCAGCTAGGAAAGGCAGTGACTGACATGTCTGAATTGAAGAGGCAAGCATCAATAGCAGCCATGTGTCTTCATAGCTTGGCAAAGTTCTTGTAAACTCCAGCCTAGCTAATGAAGCTTCTTTAGGCTGAAAGTACCACGGGGCTCTGAGTCACTCTCGAACCTCAGAAAAGTAGCTGCCGCCTACAGGAACATTCTTGAGGTTTTGGTGCATTCAGGCCTAAGAAAGATGAAAGAAGAGGAGCTCGGTGCTCCCCAGTGGGTCTGTGCATGTAGAAAACAAAAGCTGCGCCACAGCGGAAAGCTAACTTCCAGATCTCAATACACGAATATTTTCTCCTTCCCTGCTAACATGCAGTCAGCCAGGGCACAAACTTGCTAGAAGCATGTGCTCATCCAAGAGCACCAATCATGCATCCACACGCAAAAGTGGATGCTACTGAAACCGAGCTGCGGGATTTTGTTCAGCAGAACACGCAGTGTGGGATCAGCCGTGCCCTTAGGAACAGAGGTGCCAGCAGTGCTTTGCTCCTGAATAGCACACAGCTCTTTGCATTGCTCTGAACTGCTTTGCTTCAGGCTGTCTCTGCTGATGTGCTTTGGCTGAACATATGGCAATCTGGCTCACTCCTGCATTGAATTGTGTTTATTTCTCTCCCTGATGGGAGCAGATGCGATCACATCATTAGCTCAATTCCTCCTTCAGTTACACATCTACAGCTGACCAAACTCATCCAGTGCAGTCCCCAGGAGTGGGACTTGGCCCATTTGGAGCCAAACAGCTCCAAGAAAACCATCTAAACCTGTACAACGGTAACTTTAAAGATGAAGATGAGTTCTGCTGGTGGGAGAAACCAACAGCTCTGACCATGGCCCATGAAGCTCTGCGACTCGGCCCGCTCTCAGCAGGTGGTACCAAGTGCTCTCCATCAGCAGGACCCCCCCACACTCCTTTTTCCCCCATTCTGCACTTACGGTAGCACTGCCTGCTGTCTGCTCCCAGCTCATAGCCCGGGTTGCAGACACACGTGAAGGAGCCGTGGGTGTTCAGACAGCGGTGTGCACACATGGCCAGGCCAACCAAGCACTCATCCACATCTACAAATGGGAAAAACCAGAAGAGCAGCAGCCTTGAAACAATGTTGACGGCGCATCCCTCAGCATCAGCCCATCGATTCCCAAAGCAGTGCCAGCGCTGCTCGGCCCCGCAGGAGCTCACCTTGGCAGGCTCTGCCATCGGGTCCCAGCCGGTATCCAGGGCGGCACTCGCAGCGCGCCGCTCCCCGGACATCACGGCAGAGCTGCATGCAGCCCCCATTCCTCTCAGCACAGGGGCTCCAAGCTGGGGTCGAAAGAAGCAGCAATGACCCACAGAGCCCCGCGTGTAGGGCTGCCATCCCTCCCCCCATTGCCCAGCACTCACGGGCGCAGCGCCGGCCGTCCTCCCGCAGCCGGTACAGCCGGCGGCAGCGGCACTGGTGCTGGTTGGCTGTCAGCTGCACGCAGTCGTGCTCGCAGCCACCGTTGTTCACTGCACACGAGTTCAGTGCTGGAAAGGACAAAAAAAACATCATCCGAAAGCACCGCCTGAGGGTTTGAAGTCATAAAGCTGTTTCGGTTTTCAAGGTGGGCTAACTGCAGGTCGTTGCTACGGCAGCGCTGAAATCTCATAGCTCTGCTCAGACGGTGCAAACGCAGTGCCACAGCTAATGCCACTTAATTGCTGCTCAGAGAGCTGCACTCAGGCATGCTCCAATTTTATTGTCACAAAATAACATGGAAAATTAGGTTCCTGGCTCCGAGCCATGCAAAAGACAGCAATTACACGGGGCGAGGCCACGCGGGCACCATCGGTTCTTCTGGGAGCGTTCAAGGGGAAGGGATTTCAAGTGCCCTCCTGCATGTCCCCACTTTGACCTGGCGTGACACGTCCCATCCTGTGAGCCTGCTGCAGAAGCAGCAGCTGGGTGCACTTGCTCAGGGATGCTCTGCAGGGATGGGGCTGGGCTCCCTGCCTCGTGCAAAGCACTCTCCTACCTAGAGGATTCAAACAGGCAGAAAACAGAGGGTTTGCCTAGGTTACAGCCGAAAACACATCCCAGGGCCAAAGATGTGGATTATCTTTCCTCCCCCCCCCCCCCCCCCCCCCGCTCTTTAGAAGCTTACTATGATTAATTGCTTTAAAATAGCTCAGACTGCTCTGTGGGATAAGCACCCAAGGGGTGAAGTGCAGCTGGAGATGGGCAGATCTTGCCACCATAAGTGCTGCAGCAGTGAAGGAGCAGCAGCTTTGTGGCACTCAGAGGACCAGCATCTATACAGGAACTGCACTACGCCCCCCAGCTCTGCTCTGTCTCTTACACTGAGATGGAACAGCTACCTGGTTTCTGTCACCAAAGAGGTTCCTGCATTTCTGACCCATTCTTTGCACTGCAGGAGGATCCCAAGTCCTGACTGAGAAATCCTACAAGGAAGCTGAGGGTTCCACAGCAAAGCCACGTCCCTGCAGAGGAACACTGCTGGCACTGCTGGCTCCTGCACCGCTGCAGCCTGTGTCTGATGGTGACCATCACACGCAAGGATCAGCTCCACTAAGCAAGCAGGCATTCTGGGGAATAAATATGACTTCATGGGGTCAAAACGCTGTCATACACAGCGCAGGGCTGGGGGGAGAATTATCAGTCTGTGTTACTTCGCTGACGTTGTTTCCTTTAATCTATTTGGATGGAGACAGCAGAAGTACCTGAGGTGACTGCAGAGCTATGGGGCAGGGATGGGTGGTCAAACATTTCTGCTGTATTTAAGTGTTTAATAATGTACATTTTAAAGCATCCATAAATCAGAGCTGTGCTTGAAGTGCTTTTTTTTTTTTTTTAATAAAACAAGTAAAACAATGCTGAAGCTTGCCAAAATATTCCTCCTTATGGGAAAAATGCTTGGCTGATCTATAACCAGCCAACGCATCTTACATCTAAAATAACCTCCCAGGATGCAGTGATCCCATGAATTTGCAGCCTGAATAACTGCCATCTTTGCAAGCTTTTGGAAGACAAACTTTCAGAGTGGAAGAACCCAAAGTTCAGATTCTTCTCCATGACACGACTTAAGCAGAGGATGCTGATGGAGATGCCGTAAGGTTGGATGCAGCAGGCTCTCCAACAGGGTAACTTAGACACAAAGACACCATTTCCTTCAGGTTGCCTTCAGCAATGTGTTCTTAGAGCCCATTGACCCTATGGGAGCCTCGTGCTCCTGGCCTGCAGACAGTGGGGCCCATGTGCTCCACGTGGCACTGTGGGCAATGGGAGCAGCAGTGCAGCCCTGGCAGCACACTCTGCTGTACGTGGCACATGGGGACGAGCAGAGAGAATGCAGTGCATGGGCCAGGGCTTTGGTTTTGCTGCAAGAGGAACAAATCCCATTTCAGAGCAGGAACGCCGAGGCACAACAAACAAAACCCACTAACAGCACTTTGGGTGCTGTTCCATGTGCTCGGGGTCTCCCAGCCGGCTCTTGGCACGGCGCAGCCCGCAGCCCTTGTTCTAATTACTGCTCCTTTTCTTTCTTTGTTTACAGAGCCGCTCTAAAAATATTTCCATTCCCAGATGCTTTTCCTAGCTCAGCTTTTCTGCGACGCCGCTGCCAAACCCAGTGTCATCCTGTGCATCATGCAGCCTTTGGTAATTAGAGCTCAGACAGATTTTCTGCAGATGAGGTTTCGTCGTCTGCAAGCAGAGCACAGCAGCTGGCCCTGCAGGACCTGCACTCGGGACATTGGGAGGCACAGGAGTGCACACACAGCAGGATGGATGCACCCAGAGCTCTGCTGCTCCGCCGTGGGATCCCCACATCCCCATCTGCACCACCTTTCCATCCCAGTGGGATCCCATCACGTAGACCAAACCCACACACACCCTTAAGGCACGACAAAAATCCCTGCTAAATCTGAGATTTGAACACTCTTAGTACGAAGAGGGCTCCGCCATGTAATCCCAACCCGATTTCTTCCAACCTCAGACAATTTCCAGAGCCACGCTGTGTTAATGCAGACCATCTCCCCCTTCTGCCGGCCAACACAAGCAACGGGCTCAGATTAAACTCTTTGCTTTGGCCCTGGAGTCCCTCCCCCCACTCTGGAACCACGGAGAAGGACCAAAGATGTCAGCTCACTGCCTCCTGCCATGTGGTTCTGATAAAGAGGGGTGATTTCAGGACGTCCAATGGCTCTTTTTGCTCTATTTCACTTTCAGGCTCTGTTTTCTTCCCCTCTCTTCTGTGCTCAAATCAGAGATTCACTCTAACGGAGCAACAAAGGCAATGCAGGACCTCGCACTGCAGAGCTGTGGACAACCAAAACTGCTGAGCAGACCCCTAACAACCCACTATAAGAGGTGCCTGGGCAACTTCTGAAAGATTGTGCTGCATTGTGCCTTGCTTTACTGTCTGCAGCACCAACTACAAAGGGGCCAGGCACGAGCCAGCCCTGCAGCCACCCCAGCACTGTACTGAGCATTGGGCAGGGAAACAACTGCTGATCCACAGCCCTCTTCTGAGCTTTTACAGGAAAAAGATGTTTACTTCCATCCCTTGACACCACTGCCCTAATGGGCCAGCACTGAGCTGTGCTGACAGCAGGGCATATACACACATAGATGCGTATTGCTATCACAGAAGTGGCAAGAACAGAAACCATCGGTGTTCACTGCAGCTCTGCTGGTCCAAAGGAGCCGTGCCAGCATTAAGTCCAACCCCAACCCACCCCCACCACGTCCACCAGGCTCCACCCCCAGGTGCTACATCCACACACAGAACATCTCCATGGATGGAATCTCCACCACCACCCAAGGCAGCTGTTCCAAAGCTTCTCCATCCTTTGGAGAAGAAATGTGCCCTTATATTCAACCTGAGCTTTCCCTGGAACAACTTATGGCCGTTCCCTCCCATCCTATCACTGATATCTGGGAAAGGGGCTGTGATGCAAGAGCATAAGCTGACATCAACCACTTCATGTACAACGGCACACGCTTCTGGGTATGAGGAGGGCTATGAAGAAGTAGGCATTCCCAAGGAACACAAAAACCTTTGACTTACCAATGCAGGTTCTGCCATCCGTATGCAGGCGAAAGCCCGGCTTGCACTCACAGTAATAGGATCCAAAGGTGTTCACACATCTGTGCTGGCAGCCCCCATTGTGAACCTGGCACTCATCAACATCTGCAGAAGAAAAAAAAAAGAATGTCAGAAGAGTGGGCATGACAGTATCTGAAGTCAGAATTATTTATCCCTGCTGAGTGACTCCAGATTCAAAGAATGAATGCATCAGGAACAGCGTTGCTATTTCCATCAAGTTTAAGCAGCCAAGTGATTTAAGAGATTTCAAGGACAAGCGTGCAATCAGAAAAAAATGCATCTTGTTTGTCAATCAGTGTAAAGCATCCTTCCTCTTGCTCAACTTCCAACAGTCCCTTTTCCCAGATGGAGGCACACCACCATAACACCAGGGTAGCCACAAGCACACTGCTGCAGCACTTCCCAAGAGCCATCTGCCCTGAAGGCTGTGGGTTTAGTAGTGTTTTGCATTCCCTCACTGTCCGTTGAAGGTAGATCCATCCATCTGGACCACAAATGGGTGGTCTGCTTGTGACCTGAATGGTGAGAGCCACTGCTGAATATGAAGGGCTGGAGGGAGGGGGAAAGATGCAAAGTGAATGGAAAGCTGCAGAGGCAGCATGCAAGGATTGGTGTCCAAAGGTAAGAATCCCAAATGCAGCTCCCAGCCCCTCCAACACGATCCAATGGAGCTCTGACTGTTCAGCCTACATGCCCTTGAACAAAAGGCAGTCCCTGTGCCAGAAAATCCTTCTGCCTAAACCCCAACCAGATTTTCACAGCTCTTACATTGCCTTTAGATACTAGGATTCATTTCCAGAGCTGGGAAGAAACATAAAGCTCACTGGAGATCCAATATGTGATGGAAAGAGTCAAAGAATGAGCACAAGAGCAGAATTTCCGCACGCACAGAGGGTGTGCAAGGTGCAGGCATTGGAGCTGTGCAGGTCAGCGTTCGCCCTGTTGGGGACCAGCCTCCTCCATTCTGAGTTGGCTCAAGACCACAAAACCTGAGGTCTGGGTAAGAGACGTGGAATAACAAAGTTCTCTGGTCTGAATTCCAGGGAATGTTTTACCACTTCCCTTCAACTCTAACCCGAAGCCAAAAAGTGATGGCACTGGGTCCAGTGGGGACAGGCACTGAGCACCCACGTGGGTCACGCTGCATTGGCACAAGGCATTGGGAGCACAGAGATGGCAGTGCTCCACTCCACGCGATGCGGTTTGTGACACACCAAGGCGATTTTCCTATTGGAGGACTGACAAAATCTGGTTGGAATCAGCGTGCCAAGGAAGGGAAATGAGAAGCACGCAGACTTCTCCACTAAGCGGGCAGCAAGCAGCCCTGCCAGGAGCACAGCGCAGTGCCAACCAGCACTGGTAGGGCAGCAGCACGGCCAAAATGCCCCAAAGCAGTGCCAAAACCAAACACAGTGAGTGCTGGAAGCAGAACTTGGCACAGGGTTAGGAAAGCCCCTGGCTGTGTAAGGATATGGGAGCTCTCCACACCGACGCTGGTGCAGTGGAGCAGCAGCAGCTGATGCTCTCAGCAGTGTCCCCCAATGGGATTCACTCCTCCCGACCCCACAAAGTTGCTGTGGGACAGCAGGGGAAGGGCAGAGTGCAGGGGCTGCGATGCTGCACAGCCCAACCGCACGCAGCTCCCTGGTGGGGCAGCACAGAGATTGATCCTGAACAGCAGCTCTGCGTTAGGGGGGAAGGAAAGCAGCAACAGCAGCTCTGCAAATTACAGAGCATTTTGTTCAGGGGCAGTTTATCTCCTGTGAGACTCTGAGGAGGAGGAGAGAAATCCCAGCTGCAGGCAGTGGCAGCCGATACGCTGGAAGGGTTTGTTCTCCAGCTAACCAGGCTGTAATCCCTGCAGCAATTAGCCTGATTACTGAGCCGGGCTGCAGGGAAATGGTTAATTAAAATCCACCAAGATGAGCCCGTGTGGGATTCAGCTACTTTATCTTTTCAGTACCAGTTCATTAGAGCTGCTTTCAGCAGTTTCACCAAGCGGTGAGGATGGAAGGAGACAACCCAGCCACCCTGGGGTGCTCAGCAATGGGACACAGCCCAGTGCCAGGCTGTGGGGGATGGGAAAAAACCCCAAACCTGAGCTCCACAGGGCTGTTCCAAGCCTGCTGGACTTCCACAGCAGTTGCTCCTAAAAAGAATTGAGGTGCTCCTAGCTCTTATCCACACAACACCCGCACCAACCTCAGCAGCAGAAGTTTCAAGAGCATTTCAGGAACAGATGCTCTGACAACAGTCGGATGCAGTGCAGAGGGACCAGCAGCTACCTTGCCTCCAGCACTGCCTTTGTCCTCACCTCACCTCCTTTTGCCTTCAGGCACAGCTCTCCCTTACAAGCCGTGCTCAAGTTTCAGTCTCCTGATGGTGCCGATAATTGCGTATTACTCAGGGTGGAACAGAGATGCACGTAACAACAAGCCAGCAGCTGGCTCCCAACTTGCCACTACAGTCATCTGCTCCAAACCTTCTTCTCAGCTTCACTTTATCCCATTTCTCCGCCATTTGGATAGAACACAACCCCACGCGTGGGCTGTATGAGCAGCACGTGGCAGGGAACACAGGCAGCATGGCACCATCCTTGGTGCCCAACGAGGCACTGCCCAAGGCACTCACACCTGCTGGAAGCAACAGAACTAAAGGAGAGCACACAGCTGTGCTGGGTTCTGCTGTGCTTTGTAGCATCACAGAGGGAATAGGGGCCTCCAGGTGCAGTGATTTCACATAGGACCCCAGCAGAGAGTAATGATCTCTCCTTTACAGGTTCTGCACAAGGACATAACCCACAGCACTGCAATTAGCCACTCAACACGAATGCAGGGATCCAGCAGAGAGCTGTGTGTACACAGAACAGATTTTAAAGCACTTGAGACTCCAATTATACGCGCACCACCATTACACAAAGCACCTCTTCATTCCCTGTTTGCACAAGGAGGTTGCCCACGAGATGCCCCTGCAGCAGCTCGTTGAGCTCACTTTGCTTTTGGGATCGGAAATTTGTATCCCAGGCAAAGCTTGATCACCTTAGAGAAACAACTCGAGTTAATGCAGTCAGGGATGGAAGCACCAACTGCAGTGTGAGCTCTGTGATTCTGTGGTCTGATCTCCAAGCAACAATTCCCCATTTCCTGAGCTCTGCCACATCTTACACACGTACTGATAATGCTTTTATGTTCAACAGCGTGGGGCATTCATTTACTGGGATCATCTCACAATAAGATAACACGTTCCTTGATACCTGCACTACTCACAAGCACCAAAAGCCCTCAGCAGACTTCACATATTCTCCACTTTTTCCAACATCTTTAGGCAGCCTCAACCCCTGCCTGCTGCTAAGCCAGCTGAACACACAGGGATGAGGAGGCAGATATCTGAGAGCTTACAGAAGTTATCCCTTACCCAATAACCCCACTGATCATCACACAAACACTCAACTTTCCAGTGTGCCAAACCAAGGCACATAACTGCACCGCAACTGATAGAAACTCTCAGTTCTTCCCCCCCACTCTGCCAGAAGTCACTTCTCAGAATAAATCTGCCACGGTGTGACTATAAGAATCCAAGCTGCTACATGAGCATGGACAGATATGCAGGAGGGATGCAAACCCAACTGCTGCCAAGCCCAGGGTCCCACCTGGGGGCTCAGCTACCAGCCCCCCATTACCACCCCCAGGGCAGCACTAACACCCACGGGCTGAGCCCAGCACATACCTGCTCGCATCTCGGCGTGGCCAACGTTGGACCCCCCACGCCCCAGGTAACAGGGATAGCAGCTCCTCCATTGGTAACGGTAGTGATTGCCGGCAGCACCGGGGATGCCACCCAAAAAACCGAAGCACCACAGCAGCATCTGAAAGTGTTCCTGCCTCATGCTGGGAAGTCGAGAGGTAAAACGGAAGGACCAAAAAAAAAAGCCCGAAACGACTGAGCAAAGTGCGGTCCTGCAGCAAGTTAGGGGAGGAATGGAAGGGCTGCAGGAGCCAAAAAAAAAAAAAAAGGAAAAATACCAACAAAAATCCCACAAAGGCACAGCGAGCGGGCGGGGCTCCGTGCGGGGCTGGACGCGGGGCGCTCCGCCGCCGCCCCCCGCAGGTGAGGGCAGCTCCGGAAAGCGCCGCCCCCCGCCCCGCACCGCCAGCAGCGGCCGGGACACCGCATTCCTCCGGAGGAAGGACTGGCGGGGAGCCGGGGCGGGGGCTCATAGCGGCGGAGCAGCTCGGGAGGCTGCCTGCATGGACAGATGGACAGACGGACAAATAGACGTGGGTGCCCAGCACGCAGCCCCCAGCCCAGCTGACATCACCGCCTGCCCGACCCCTGAGCTGCAACCCCCGCCCCAAGTGCCGCCGTTGCCCCCCGGCTCAGGTGCCCGCTGTAAGGCAATCAGCCCCAGCCACCGCACCTCCCTCTAACGACACGCACCTGGTGAGGCTGCTCGTGCAAAGCTTCCCTGTTCCCTTCCTTACAGCTAAAAAGTCTCCAGTGACAAAGCTAAGCTCAACTAAAGAGCAACTCTGTAGAGTAATCCACACCGTTTCCCATAACGGGGATCCTAGGATTTTATTTTACCTTTTTCATTAAGCAAGAAGTAAGAATAGCTCGCTGCGTTTTCCAGAGGCGAGCTCAAAAGGCTCATTTTGCTTCTGGGATGGTTTGAAACAATGAGCTCGTGGGGCTGAGCCAGGGGGGAGAGCGGGGCTGCTTTTAGAAGTCTTCTTTGGCTGTAGTAAAATTCCAAATTAAAACTTGTGGTTGTGGCTGCAATGAATAGCATTCCACAGAAAGTCCTGAAGCACGGAGAGGAGCTGAATCCAGGAAGAAAAGCATTTGGGGCTGCTGGGAAGGATGGTGGGCTCCAGCCGTGAGCACCCCAAAGCGATGGACCCGCATAGGGGCAGCACCCAGCACACCACAGAGCACCCAGTGACCAACCAGCAGCCCAGATGTCACAGTTTGTCATTGCTGCCCCGACTCCCTCCTTGGAGGGCCCCTCCAGCCCTGCTACAATGGGCAGCGCTGACACTTTTCCTGTAAATGCTTCTGGTGGTGCTGACGTGCAACAATGCCATAAAGCTATGAAAAATGCTTTGGGCAGACTCGCTTGTGCCAGCAGTGTTATTAGGATGCTGTTATACAAAATGATCCTGGCTTGGAATGCGGCTCCACGGCTGCAAGCACAAACCAGAGAGCCCTTCCCCCACCTCCAGGACCTGGGAACCCCTCCTGGCTGAGCACAGCTCCCCACACAGACCCCACTTACATCCCATTGACAGAAACGCTCTCGGAGCTGCTGCTGCTCAACAAATGATGTGACAAACTCGTTCCATCCCGTATTTCCTTACGCTGCTATTAGGAAAGTCAAGCAAGGCTCTGTGAAGGGCTCCGTGGTACAGCACGTGTATGGAGAGCACTTCAGGCTTGAGCAGGAACTTATGACATAAGTTATGCTTGGCCAGGTCTGAGCCAGCCCCAGCTTCCTCCTCACCTAATTTACTGTGGCTGATGAGGTACGATGGGGTGGTTTGGATATGGCAGCACGCTGCCAGCAGCAGCAGGTCATGCTGGCTTCCTGGCTGGGGGACCAGCAGCACCAAAGGGGTTCTGTATGCAGTGCCTGGGCCACTCCCATGGAATTGCATTCTGATCCAGTCCTGGCCTTACTGAATTCCTACAAGAACCCAAACAAATACAGCTGAAGATGTGGGACTTTGTAGTTCAACACGCTAAGGGCTGAGGTTCCTTAAGTTCATTCCACACACAGACGTGGGTCAATGAACTCAGGTGGCTGAACCTCATCCAGAACCACCCAGACCCCAAACCAACTTTCTTCTGACTTTCAGTTTACACCGAAAAGGAAACAGCCCAAGTGAGAACATGAAAGCAATCCAGAAACCCCCGCAGCAAATCAGGGACACTGAAGGCAAAAGAGTAAAGCTTGGGGTGTTGGCCCAGGGTGAGAAATGACTTAATGCTGCTGCAAACTTGAGCTCCTGTCTCCAGGATGGGACTTCAGTCTGATCCGGTGTTGGCTAATGGATGTAGGAAAGGCTGTTGCAGCCTTCAAGTCCATATTGGAAAATATTGCATAGCAGCAGCTCAGCGAGATGGCACAGAGGTAGAACCTCTAAGATTGGTGTGAAACAGAAATCTGGTCTGTTTCCCTTATAAAAAAGCAAGCAAAGTAAATAAACCGTACAGCCATCACCCACCCAAGCCACTTCAGAGGCTCTTCTGTTCCAGAGAAAGTTAGGAATACAGAAGTGCTTGAGCAGTCCTAATTGCAGCTATGAGCCCCAGCCAACAGAGCAGTGATGCTCTACGGGTACCTGAGTCAGCTGAGAACGTGGATCACACAAAATATGCTCACTGCAGCTCAGGTTCAAACCCAGTGAACACAGAGGGGAGCTGGTGCCACCCAGGGACTCCGTGCTGGCATTAAGTGAGCTCATCAATCAGCTCGCAGACTGGCACGGGAGCTAATTGGCTCCTTTCCTGGTAGCATGAGCAGAGAAGCCCAGGACGGAATAAATCCACGGAGGATTTGCTTTCTAAATATAATCCTGCTAGCTCAGAAGTGAAAACAGAGCGCAGAGCCAAAGGCTGCTGCTGCTTTGTGGGTCGGACCGAGGGGGCCCTGCACCTCTGAGATGCCACGTGTGGACATCTCCATCTGTCACTGCACCCAGTGAGAGCAGCAGGCTCTGCACAGCCCATCCCCACCTTGGCTTTGCTCAAGCACCACCAGCACTTCTGCTAAGGAAGTCCCAGTGGGGCCTCCCCTAAAGACAAAAAGGGGGCAGGGGGAACAAAGGGCTGTTTGTTTCCACCCAAATCCCGACGCCCTCAATCAGACTAGGAGCAAATCCCATAATCCCCACCCGGGGAGTTCGGGGGAAACCAAAAATATTTCAGCTTGGAGAAGATAAGGGCAGAGCTGTTTGGTTCACACATCTCTGCTGTGGGACGGAGCCAGGAAATACTTTTCAGTTATTTTCAACAAAACATGACGAATGCATCAAATTGGCAAGAAAGGGACATTCTTCTACTGAGTTTTCTGATGTCCAAACCAGTATCCACAACAATGGCTCTTTCCCCCTTTGTCAGTAAGTTTTGTTAATGGTTTGGAATTCTTTTGGACTTCTGCTAAGCCAACCAATGCTGAAATAAGTGAGAAGGCCACCAGGAAGACACGACGGTCCCAAATGGCAGCAGGAATGCTCAGCTCTGCGATAGGAATGCCTTGGATTTCTGGTCTGCAGGACAGCATTGGCTTGAGCAGTGGGAGCTGACAAGTCTATGATGTGCAGCTGGTATTTACTAACACGAATCCCATTTGGTGTTTGACAGACACAGAATTCTCTTTCACCCTTGTCTGAAAACAGGAGATTTAATGTAAAAGATGGGGAATTATGTGATGCTGTCAAGTCCTAAGGGAAAAAGTCATCTTTTGGAGCAATAAAAGACACGACCCCAAAAGATTCGGGACATCACCCTGAAAACTTCACTTTGCATCCACACCAGGCTTTCCCTCTTTCACACATCCAAGGGTGCAGCAGAGCAAGAATTTGGTGTTCAGATGGCACCAAATGAACCACCAGAGCATCCCACAGGTCTATGGCAAAACAGCAGCACTGGATACACCGCAATCCTTCCCTAGGGAATATCAGCAAATAATCACTGTGTTCACCATTAAAAGGAACGTTCTTCTCAGCAGAGAGGGAACCCCACAGCACTGCTTTATCACAGCAGCCCACTGTTTCCATGCAGAAAATGGCAAATGATGCATTCTGGAGGTAATGCAAGCAGTACGTGTGTGAGTGTGCACATACATGGCACTGTGTAACAAAAGTGAAACACTTCTAGCACCAGGCAAGAAGCAGGACTAAGCACGTGGTAATATAAGTAGCAGCAATTTAAGCAGGAGACAATTAGTAAATTCATTTCATATGATGGGATAGAAAACAAACCACTATTTAACGTGACAGATGTTGCTGCTGAGCTCCTACCCCCTCTGTCACCTTCAGTCAGCATCATCATTTGGAAGCTCATTTCTGGGAAATAACGAAGCAGTGCAGCAGGGTCAGGGAGCAGCAGTGTCCCTGCATGGACACACAGCCCTGCACCAGACTTCTCTTCTGACCAGCACAGCACTCTCACCCCAAAGCCCATCTGGGAGCTCTTAGCAAGCTGCAGATGCTTTGCATCCAAACATCTTCACACCTCCCCGACAGACACGATAGCTGCTTTAATTAGTCCCACAAAGCAGGCTGTGTGTGCAGCTCATCAGCCAGCTGTGTGGCCCCAACAACAGCCCCCAATGTCAGCTCCCTGCAGGGCAGAGTGGGGACAGCCTGGGCTGGGATGGAGCCCACACCCAGAACAGCATTGGGAGCTGCACCAACTTTTGGCCATCTTTTCTTTTCCACTTACAGCCCACGATGAAGCCCAGGTTAGGAAACGCTGCGTTTCAGTCTGACGTGTGAAATATATGGGGAGATTGCAAAGAGATGTAGCAGCTGCTGGCAAACTCCTGACATTTGGCACTAAGCAAGGTGCTCCACGCATGTATTTGTACTAGAGAAGCTACACTTCTTGCCCTGTAGAGAAGCATTTCCTTCTCAAAAGGACAAGAAGAATGGAGACGATACCACTGTGAGGCGTTGCTCTGGATGGAGGAGCAATGAGTTGCAGTTTTGCCAGCAGCTTCAGCCATACCGCGTTCTGTACGTTTCCTCCCGCTACCGCGGATAGACCTCGTGTTTTTTGCGCTCAGCCAGCACCGATGGAGCTCCGTGCTCCCATCTGCTCCCCGCATGGCAGCGGGGACATCGCGGGGACATCGCGGGGACGCGGCCGGGACACCGCCGCCCTCTGCCGGCTGCGGAAGGGTAAATCCTACGGCGAGCACCACGTCGGGTCGTAAGGATGGAAGCGATCGCCAGCTGGCAATAGAGTTGGAGAAGGGGATCGTGGAGAACCGCCATTTAACTCCCTC